TGGCCTGGTTTTTCTCTTTTGTCTGTGAATTCAACTTTACCTTATTATTACTATTGTGCTGTTATCAATTTTTTAAGTGGGCATGGTACCATATTGCTTATTCATTTATGTATGCTCGCTGTTGTACATGCCTTGTGTAAATAAAGATTTACAAAAAAAAAATTGATTTGTTTAAACTGAATTATTGTCTTACATTCATGCTGTGTTTTCTCCCTGTTCAAATGTATTTAATTTCGGGGAAAAAATAAGTTATGCAGCATCCCTTAGCCATGCCTCTACTTTGTACTAAATATCTTTCTGATTAAAAGTACTTATGGTACATACTCAGCTCAGCCAATTAAAGAGCTGAGCTGCTGACATGACTTCACCCCGCAGCTAATCATTGTCCTTTGTTATCTGCTCCCTTTCCCTTTCGCACAGCTTTTATATACTATACAGATACTAGCAGAACATTTGTAAATATTCTAGTAAATAAACCACAGAAAGTAAAAATGCTGTTTAATTTAAATTTACTTAGCAATAGGATCTTCTTTGGCAAAACCTTTTCATAATGTTTCATTATTTTTTTTTCTTGGATCAGTGGAAAAAGGACATATTCAAGATGTCCCAGAATCAAAGTAATGCTTTCTCAGTCTCTGGGCACAGAGATGTAGCAGGGAAATTAATTGGGATCATACTTTTGGTCGAGATATATATTGCTGTATATTCATCAGCACAAAGGCAAGTGACACATGGGACACATCATTCCTACAGTTCTAGTTTGTGTAATAAACTACTTTCTACCATTGTAGCATCCTGTAAAAAACAAACAAACACTATCAATAATTCACAAAGCTGTCATTTCAGAAATGTTGATATAAAATAAGAGAGGAAAAAAGTATTCTATATGAAAGTATACATAATACATGTTCCTTGTATATAAGTATACTTCTACTTTTACAAAATATGTAAATTATAATTCTTCTTATTTTATGATTATTACTGACTTATTTTATGATTATTACTGACTAATTCTTAAGTATTTTTTTAGACATTAAAAACTTACAATGCACTGTTCCAAATTATTACGCACAGTAAGTTTCAAAACACTTTATAGTTTGTAAAGAACTGAAAATTGTCATTTGTTGTGTTTGCAGCATATTTACTGAAATCAAAAGCTATTTCAATCAAACTTATAACATTTTTTTTTTTTTAAACATTTTAACAGGTCATGTTACATTTTAACATAGGACCCCTTATTTGATAGCAGCTTCACAAGTCTTGCATCCATTGAACTTGTGAGTTTTTGGACAGTTTCTGCTTGAATTTGTTTGCAAGATGTCAGAATAGCCTCCCAGAGCTGCTGTTTGGATGTAAACTGCCTCCCACCCTCATAGATCTTTTGCTTGAGGATGCTCCAAAGGTTCTCAATAGGATTGAGGTCAGGGGAGGATGGAGGCTACACCATGACTTTCTCTCCTTTTATCCCCATAGCAGCCATTGATGCAGAGGTATTCTTTGCAGCATGAGATGGTGCATTGTCATGCATGAAGATGATTTTATTACGGAAAGCATAGTTCTTCCTTCTGTACCAGGGAAGAAAGTGGTCAGTCAGAAACTCCACATACTTTGCTAAGGTCATCTTTACACCTTCAGGGACCCTAAAGGGGCTGACCAGCTCTCTTCCCATGATTCTGGCCCAAAACGTGACTCCACCACCGCCTTGCTGACATCGCAGCCTTGTTGGAACAGGGTTGCCGTCCACCAACCATCCACTACTCCATCCATTTGGTCCATCCAGGGTTGCATGGCACTCATCAGTGAACAGGACTGTTTGAAAATTAGTCTTTATGTATTTTTCTGCCCAATGCAGCTGTTTCTACTTGTGAGCATTGGTTAGTGGTTGCCGCATAGAAGGTTTATGCACAGTTGCAAGACTCTGGAGGACTCTACACCTTGATGTCCGTGGGACTCCAGAGGCACCAGCAGCTTCAAATATCTGTTTGCTGCTATGTAATGGTATTTTAGCAGCTGCTCTCTTGATCTGATGCATGGATCTGGCAGAAACCTTCCTCAATGTGCCTTTATCTGCATGAACCCATCTGTGCTCTGAATCAGCCACAAATCTCTTAATAGTGCGATGATCACGCTTACGTTTTCGTGAAATATCTAATGTTTTCATACCTCGTCCAAGGCATTGAACTATTTCAGCAGAGAGATCCTTTTTCTTTCCCATATTGCATGAAAATGGTGCTCTGCTTAATAATGTGGAACACCCTTCTTTAGTAGTTTTTCCTTAAATTGGGCTCACCTGGCAATTTAATTATCACAGGTGTCCGAGATTGTTTTCAGTGATCAAAAGAGCCCTGAGACACAATGCCATCCATGTGTTAAACTGAAAAACAAATTATTTAATCTTTGTGACACTTAAATAGAATTTGCATAATAATTTGGAACAGGGTGTATGTAATGAGCATGTATTGGCCCACTCTTGTTGCTAGGTGCACACTCCAGCACAATAACATATTCAAAGTGAAGAGCACACTCATAGGACTTTAAACTAAACAAGATAACTTCATATTTTACAGCTGTGCAACAGCATACTGTCAGCATTTCAGTCTCATTACCAAAGTTTCCTTAATATGTCAAGGTAGTTGAAAATGACCCTTCTGGATCGCTACCTTGCCATGGTGAAGGGGCTTGTGTACTTCAATGAAGCTATGAGCTATACCATGTAGGGGCACTGAAGACGGTCATAGCAGAGAAGTCAGACAAATAGTGGTCCACTGGAGAAGGAACTAGCAACCCACTCCAGTAACTTTGCTAAGATAACTATATGGACAAGCACAACCAGAGACATAATCATATGGCACTGGAAGATGGGCCCCTCAGGTCAGAAGGTGCCTACCACATTACAGAGGAAGAGGAGAGGGCAAGTACGAGTAGCACCAGATCTAATGAAGTGGTTGGGCCAAAGTTGAGAGGACACCAAACTGCAGATATGTTTGGAGGGGAAAACAAAGTCCGCTGCTGCAAAGAACAATTTAACATAGGAACCTGAAATGTTAGAACTATGAACCAAGGCAAACTGGATGTGATCAAACATGAGATGACAAGGTTAAACATCGATATCCTGGGATTTAGGGAACTCAAATGGCCTGGAATGGGACATTTCACATCAGACAACCATCACATCATCTACTGTGTACTCCATACTCCACAGGGGAAATGGAGTACACATCATAAATTGTAACTTCCTACTTCCAGAGAAGAACTCTGTATGTGGGTGTTAACTGGAGGTAAGAAAATAAGAATTTATATTCTCTTGATTGTGACGCTACACACCAGATAATAGTTGTGTAACCTAGTAACCTCTGACTACTCAGGTATAAAGATTCATATATGAATATATTCCATTGTCCCTAACTAACAGACTTTATTACGTGATGTCTGTGTGGGGGATTGGATAGTAGTGAGTCAACAATAAGTATTGTATCTAGGATACAGGGAGCAGGATGCAAGATGAAATTTCTGCTTGCCTTATGCCAACAAATTTGGAAAACTCAACAGTGGCCAAAGGACTGGAAAAGGTCAGTCTATATCCCAATCCCAAAAAAAGGCAATGCCAAAGAGTACTCCAATTATTGAACAATTGCACTAATTTCACATGCCAGCAAGGTAATGCTTAAGATCCTACAAGCTCGACTCAAACAATATATGGAGCGGGAATTACCAGATTTACAAGCTGAGTTCCGCAGAGGACAAGGCACAAGAGATCAAATTGCTAATGTACGATGGATAATAGAGAAAGCCAGATAGTTCCAGAAAAACATCTACTTCTGCTTCATAGACTATTTTAAAGCCTTTGACTGTGTGGATAACAACAACATGTGGCAAGTTCTTAAAGAGATGATGTGAAGAAATTACAGTGTTATTTCAGTTATTTACTTTTTTCCATTCGGTAGCTGTAACTACCAAACACCGACCACCCCCTGGTTAATTGTCCCTGTGTGGCCACCATTCGTATAGTCAAACGCCACGTGCAGGAGAAAACAACGGCCATTTTGCTCGCGCAAAAGGAGGCAGTGGGACTTGGTCTTCGAGTGTCTGGAACTAAAATCAGAGACTCAACTTGAACACCGGTCAAACTGTACAAACGCTTGCTTCCTTTTCCCGAACAGCCAGGATAGTGCTGTTCGGTAGTTTTGTTCCCACGAACCAGGGGAACAAGCGCTACTATGAGCGAGGGGGTGCTGGTTTTGCATTCATTCGTTTTCAAGACTTGTCGAAATAGACTGGCCGCACAACCTAAACTCATGGAACTGTTTCTGGGCAGGAGCCTCGTGTGCTGTCGGGCAAAATTGGCCTTCCATAAAATTCCCGAACCCCTGAAATGATCTGGGTGTTTTTTGGATAAGTTGGTCACCCAGATCAGGGTTATCAGGGGATGTAACATTTATGGGGATTTTATGTTTTTTGGGGGTACTTTTCAAGTTTTATAAAAAAAATTTTTTTTTTATGCCTGGCAATAATTGAGTTATTACATTATCTGACTCAATTAGATCACAGGCCGGGAGGAGGGAATTGTCTGTGTGTATTGGGAGTGTCATACTTTTTCACTGTATTATTATTGGCTGTAACCTTTGTGTCCCTGTCCCCCACAAGGTCCATGTGGGAATGCCCCTTGAATGGGGACTTGCATAAAAGCCAGTGTGGCACCCATTAAAATCATTCCTGTTACCCCCTTCATCTAGTTTCGGCTGATGTTTGGGTGCCTGTCTGCTTTACTGGGAGAATACACTTGGGACACTGACATTCATATGGAGAATCGTTCGACTCAGCACCCGAACTGCGAACTATAATCACTCAGGCTCAGGCAGTTCAGGAGAAAATAAACCAACGGGTAGCTGCTTTACCAATGTTTATTACAGATGGGAGTACCAGATCATCTGTATGTGGTCCAAAAAGCCACAGTCAGAACCGAACATGGGACAAAAGAATGGTTCAAGATCAGGAAAGGAATGCGACAAGGTTGTATATTGTCACTGTATTTATTCAACTTATATGCGGAATACATAATGCCTAAGGCTCGGCTGGATGAATCCAAAGCTGGAATCAATATTGCTGGAAGAAATATCAACTACCTCAGATACGCAAATGATAATACTCTAATGGCTGAAAACGAGGAAGAACTAAATGACCTGTTGATGAGGGTTAAAGAAGAGAGTACAAAAGATGGATTGTTGCTTAAAGTTAAAAAGACTGAGATCATGGCAAATAGCAATCTTAGTTCCTGGCAAATAGATGGGGAAGAAGTGGAGGCAGTGACAGATTTTATTTTCCTGGTATCCAAGATCTCCTCAGATGGTGACTGTAGTCATGAAATTAAAAGACGTTTGCTTCTGGGGAGGAAAGCTATGGTAAGCTTGGACAAGCTGGTAAAAACTAAAGATATTAAACTATCAATAAATTTCCACATAGTCAGAACTATGATTTTCCCAGTAGTAACATGCGGATGTGATAGCTGGACTATGAAAAAGGATGAGCGTCATAGAATTGATGCCTTTGAACTGTTGGCGAAAAATGCTTAGAATCCCTTCGATTGCAAGAAGATCCAATAAATCCATAGGAAATCAAGACAAATTGTTCACTTGAAGCTATGATTATGAGGCTGCAGCTCAAATATTTTGGCCATATAATGAGAAGGCAGGATTCTCTAGAGAAGACTCTGATGTTTTGAAAGATTGAAGGCACATGATGAAGGGGATGACAGAGATGGATAGATAAAGTCACTGAAGCCACGAACATGAAGTTGTTGGAGCTCAAAGGGGCAGTGACTGACAGATGTACCTGGTGTGCTATGGTCCATATAGTCACGGAAAGTCGGACATGACTGAACGACTAAACAACAATAGTTGGAGATGAAAGATTAAAATAAATCTGCTCATTTGTTTATTTTAAAGCCCCATAAGTGCTTTCTTTCATGTTTGAGTAATAGTTTTCAAATTTTAAGTTATCTTTTCCACCCTTATATACCTGCACACTATGCTGGTGCAATGCATTATTGGCCTAGTATAGAATTTTGTTTCCAGGGCTGCTTTTAGTTCACAGTCTGGCCCTGGTCATGTCAGTATACCCCACTTTGAATAGAGCCCTCCACACCCTTTGTCCCTTGTTTCAAATATTTGTCTGTAGTCCATCTACTGTACAATACTGTGGAATTTCTTGCTTTATCAATAATAATTGCAACATGTTAATGGATGCCGTCAGCTGCGGATCCCCACCAAATTATACCCCCATGTCTGCTCACATGAATGATGACTTTGGTGTGAGCGTGACGTCACGCGGGTCAATTTGGCATTTTGCGGTATCTTTGACCTCTGGCTTTCTCTTATCGTTGTGTCTCATTCAGTTTCCCCTAACCTCGGCAAGTATCCTAACTATTGTTTGGTGCGTTAAGTCCGGCCATTCTAAGGCCCGGTAATACGTTACCTATTAGTCCTCTGTGTGACACAATCTTACGTGCTGGATCAACTAGTAATCCTGACATTATGACATGGCCATAGATCCTGTAGAATTGTGTCAGCACATAACTGCTTGTGAGAGAAAGCTAGAAGAGAATGATCACCATATAGATCCATTTGCAAAGGCCTTCAGTACGCTTCTTACTCGAACAGCGCATCTACAACCTGCGGCTTCCCCGACTGTGTCACCTCCGCCTAATGTACCTCCACCTATAGTACATAAGGCATCTCCCTACTATCTCCCTATCTCCTCCCCCGCATTTTGATGGTAATATTCAAGAATGCTAGGGATTCCTGAATCAAGTTGAGTATCATTTTGAGGCCTCACCAGGATCTTTTCCCACGGATAGAGCTAAAATTGGTTACCTGATGAACCAACTTAAAGGTAAAGTTTAACTTGCGCCAATTTGTTATGGAAGAGTAATAGGAGTATTGCACATAATTACCTGGAATTCCTTGTGGAAGTCAAATTAACATTCGAACCATTAGGCAGGGAGGATGAAGCCGCCACTGCCCTAATGCATATCAAGCAAGGGAACCGGTCTATCTCAGATTATGCCATAGAATTTTGCACCTTGGCTTCTGAGGTAGACAGGACCAATGGCGGATTTATCTCTGCATTTAAAAAATGATTATCTGAAGCAATTCTGGACGAGATTGCTGCCAAAGATCTACCTAAAAAATGAAATAAATGTATAACATTTGTCATGCAGATTGATATTAGATTAAGAACTAAAGAAAATACCAGAAATAGAAATAGATGTATGGCTGTGTCACTGGCACCTCGTTTCTCCAGACCTATTGTTCCTGAATCTCTTGTTCAGTCCAAACCCAAAACCCATGCAGTTGGGGGTCACTAGGCTGTCTGTGGCAGAAAGACAATATAGGAGAAAAGAGGGCCTATATCTATACTGTGGTAGAAGAGGACATATGAGGAGTGCTTGTCCCATGCATCCAGAAAATATCCGCACCTAAGAACCTTAAGGGGACAAGTCTTAGGTGTGATGGATAAGTCCTCTGGGAATAACAAAAATAGATTCCTCCTCGATATTACGATCAGATGTAACAAGAAAAAAACTTTTCATGCAAGGCCCTGATGGACTCGGGTGCAGCAGGAAATTTCATTGATGTTCATTTTGTAAAGAAAAAGGAGAGACTATCACCTCTGGCCACTGAGGCTATTGATGGGAGACAACTATCTCAACCCTTAATTACCCATGAACCTTACCCATTAATATTTTCATTGGTGCCTTACATAAGGAAGATATAACATATCAAGTAATATTTTATCATATTAGGCTTTCCTTGGCTTAGTAAGCACAATCCTCATATTGACTGGGCTAGTAGGGAAATATTGGAATAGGGCAAAGATTGTACTGAGAGATATATGTTACACATTACCAAGAGAGTGGGCATCATTACATTACCCACTACTGCGCCTCAAACCCCTGAAGTGCCCATATAATACTAAGGCTAAGGAGGTATTTATCAAAACTCAGACCAATATTCTACCTCCTCACAGAACATATGACTGTTCTATAAACCTACTACCTGGCAGTATGCTACCCAAGAGAGCAGTATATGCTTTATCTGCACAGGAGAGTAGAATAATGGAGGAATATATCAAAGACTCCCTAAGTAAGGGCCATATAAATAAATCATTCTCGCCTGCTAGTGCAGGATTCTTTGTGTCTAAAAAAGATGGTGAGTTACATCCATGCATTGACTACAGTTCATTAAACAAAATCACTGTTAAAATACCTTCCCCATTCCACTCATTTCTGAATTGTTTGACAGACTCCAGGGTGCTAAAGTCTTTACTAAACTTGACCTTAGGAGTGCGTACAATTTAGTGAGGATTAAGGAAAACCATGAGTGGAAAACAGCATTTAATACCAGTACCTTATGATGCCCTTCGAGTTGTGTAACGCTCCGTGTTCCAAAATTTTATTAATGATATACTCAGGAATTATATTTATTCATTTGTCCTAGTCTATCTGGATTATATCCTTTTATATTCCCCTGACCTTCAGACTCACCAAAAACATATTAAACAAGTATTGCAAACTTTACTGAAAAATCAACTTTATTGTAAACTAGAAAAATGCATCTTTGTACAGTTTTTGGGGTATAACATTTCTGCCTCTGGATTTCAGATGGATCCTCATAAACTAGAATCTGTTCTACATTGGATTAAAAACCATTCAAACGTTTATTGGGTTTGCCAATTATTACAGGAGATTTATCAAAGGGTTTTCTTATGTAATAGCTCCCATCACCAATATGACATGCAAGGGGGCTAGCAGTACGATATGGTATTAGAAGGCAAGAGAAGCTTTTGAACTTCACAAACAAAGGTGTGCCTCTGCCAACATATTGATACATTCTGACACCAGCAAGCCCTTCATAGTGGAGGTTAATACCACCGAAACTGGGGTAGGGGCTGTTCTCTCCCAGAACAAGAGCCAGGATATCCCTTTACATCCATGTGGTTACTTCTCTAGAAAGTTGTCTCCTGCTGAGCGCAATTATGATATTGGCAATAGGGAATTGTTGGCCATTATACTAGCACTCAAAGAATGGCAACATCTTTATGAGGGTGCCAAGGACCCCCTTTTGATCATTACTGCTCACAAAAAATTGGCTTATATAGGGGATGCTAAACAACTATCTTCTAGACAGGCTAGACGGTCTCTGTTCCTTTTCGCTTTAACTTTCTAATAACTTACAGGCGTGGTCCCAAAAATGTGAAGGCAGATGCCTTATCTAGACAGTTTGATACTGAATCTGTACAGGAACAAGAGACATCGCCTATTATTCCTCCTGAGTGTATCAACTCTTCCACTGTCCTTTCCTTATCATCTCCTCTGCTTGGCTCCATCATGGAGGCTCAGTATCAGGTGCCATGCAATAAACCATGGGATAGATTGTTTGTTCCATTGGGGGAAATGGAAAATGTCATGAAGGTGTTCCACAACAATGTGACTGCTGGACACCCGGTTATTAACAAGTCCATATCCGCGATCATGAGATCATTTTGGTGGGACTCCCTCAGAAAGGATGTCAGAGAATATGTACAGGCCTGTTCTGTTTGTGCAGTTTCGAAAGTACCTCATAAGCTTCCATGTTGGTTGTTACATCCACTTCCTGCTCCTGATGTTCCTTGGTCTCATTTGTCCATGGATTTCATTGTTGAACTTTCTAATTCTAATGGCTATATGACTATCCTTATGGCGGTTGACTGTTTTTCTAAGATCTCTCATTTCGTTCCGCTCAATAAATTGCCATCCTCACAAGATCTGGTTCTTATCTTTATACGTGAGATTGTCTGACTGTATGGCATTCCTCACAATATTGTATTTGACAGAGGTTCTCAGTTTGTCTCTCGGTTTTGGAGGGCTTTCAATAAACAGTTGGGCATTGAATTGTCATTTTCTTCTTCCTTCCACCCCTAAACCAATGGTACGGCTGAGAGGGCTAACCAGTCATTGGAATTATATTTGCATTGTTTTGTTAATAGCACTTGAGATAATTGGTCCGAATTACTACCCTGGGCCGAGTTTGCTAGGAACAATGCTGACCATGACTCGTCTGGACATTCTTTGTTAATAACAGTCGTCATCCTACTGTTCTGACTGCTGTTTTTTCTGACACTGCTATTCCTGTTTTGGATGACCACCTTGCTTCCATTCGTGATCAAGGTTCACTCCGCTCTAGAAACTGCGGTTGATTGTTTCAAACTTTATGCTGATAAACGACGGGGTGCCAACACTGTTTACCAGGTGGGTGAGAGGATGTGGTTATCATCGCGCAACATCAAGCTTAAAGTTCCTAGCATGAAATTTGCTCCTTGATTCCTTAGTCCTTTTCGTATCCTTCGTAGGATTAATCCTGTT